GGAAAGAAAAGAGTGGGTTTTTTTTTTTTTTGAAAAACTTTTTGATGATGTGGACAATGACCGTGTTAAGACAAACAGACATACATTGTTATTAAACAAGAAGGAATATGTGATGCCCCGTGGAGTGAAATGTGGAAATGATTGGGACGATAAATGGCATGGTGTGAAATGGCAAGCAAGATAAAAATATTTTTAAAAAACGAAAGTAATAGAATTTGAACATAAGATGATGGCTTTCTCCCGTCTGACTTTTCCGTGCCCTTGTTTTGCCGTTTCTTTTATGTAACTTACAGTCATGGGCGCCCGCAGGTAGGGGCAAGGGGGGTGGGGGGGCACTCCCCCCCCCCTGGATTGATTGGATAAAAAAAATTTAGACAAAAAATGTATTAAAGTAAAGAGAAAATAAATAGAAAGTAACTAAGCTGATGTCCTGTCCGTTCGTTCACCATACAAATACGCTACAGTAAATTAAAACTATATTAAAACATTACTAAAAATTTGTTGCCCCCCCCCTGGAAAGTTAATCGATTTTTTGCCTCCCCCCCCCCTAGAAAGTTTTCTGCGGGCGCCCATGCTTACAAAAAAAATAAAAAAATATATAATATACAGGTATATATAATATAAAATATATATATATATATATATATAATATATGTAATATAGGCCTATATATATAATATAAATATATATATATTATATATTATCAATTTAATAATATTACCCATTCATGTGAAATGCCAAGCCTACGACTACGACGAGACACAATAAGGAAAATAGCAGGGCAGCTTAGTACCAGCAATATAGTACCAGTACTATTAATACTATTATTATTAGTAGTAGTAGTAGTAAAAAAAAGTTCGTTGGATTTGTACAGCAGCAAACTCAAGCTCATTCATTAAGATGTGGGGTGGCCCTAATAAGGGCCGTGGGTATGATGATGGCTACGTAACATGTGGGGTCTGTCGGTCAGTCAGATTTAACCGCCGAAGCCATACAGTGTGCGGCCTTGACGTTTCAGGGCATAGACTACATCCATGGCAGTTACTGTCTTCCTCTTGGCATGCTCGGTGTAGGTGACGGCGTCTCTGATGACATTTTCAAGGAACACCTTTAGGACACCCCTGGTTTCCTCATAGATCAAACCAGAGATACGTTTCACACCACCTCTGCGGGCGAGACGACCGGATGGCGGGCTTGGCGATACCTTGGATGTGTTGTCACGCAATACTTTGCGATGACGCTTGGCGCCGCCTTTGCCTAATCCTTTACCTCCCTTTCCTCGGCCAGACGTGTTGATGTTTCGGGGTTTTTATCTTACTAATAATTTAACAAATTTTATTTATTTTTATATAGACTTTATTTACATTTTGGTAAAACTGCGATATAGCGTCGGTAATTAAAATAGACCCAAAACGGCTTTAATAAAATAAAATACACCCAAAACAGCTTTAATAAAATAAAATACACCCAAAACAGCTTTAATAAAATAAAATACACCCAAAACAGCTTTAATAAAATAAAATACACACAAAAAACCTGTAGTTTAAACAGTTTTAAGTTTATTTAAAGCACCATTCTACTCTGAACCACAACAGACGGTCTAATCACGGATTGTTTTTGACAAGCGTAATCAGGAAGTTCGGAAACATGCCTGTGAGCCGAAACTGGTTACAATAGGCGAATTCTTGCAGATATGACGGAAACAATGCACGACTAGTCTTTCCAGCTTCTACTTCGCTCTCATCCACATGTTTTTGATGTTCATTTTTACATAGAAAATAGGAAATGGAAAGAAAAGAGTGGGTTTTTTTTTTTTTTTTGAAAAACTTTTTGATGATGTGGACAATGACCGTGTTAAGACAAACAGACATACATTGTTATTAAACAAGAAGGAATATGTGATGCCCCGGGGAGTGAAAGGTGGAAATGATTGGGACGATAAATGGCATGGTGTGAAATGGCAAGCAAGATAAAAATATTTTTAAAAAACGAAAGTAATAGAATTTGAACATAAGATGATGGCTTTCTCCCGTCTGACTTTTCCGTG